TACTGGGATGAACTGGGAGGGCCTGGAGGGGCACTGGGATGAACTGGGCTGTACTGGGATGAACTGGGAGGGCCTGGAGGGGCACTGGGGCTGTACTGGGATGAACTGGGCTGTACTGGGAGGGCCTGGAGAGGCACTGGGGCTATACTGGGATGAACTGGGAGGGCCTGGAGGGGCACTGGGGCTATACTGGGATGAACTGGGCTGTACTGGGAGGGCCTGGAGGGGCACTGGGATGAACTGGGCTGTACTGGGATGAACTGGGAGGGCCTGGAGGGACACTGGGGCTGTACTGGGCTGTACTGGGCTGAACTGGGAGGGCCTGGAGGGGCACTGGGGCTGTACTGGGATGTACTGGGATGTACTGGGACGGTCTCGAGCTGTTCCCGCCGTTCCCTCCCGGCCGCCTCCCATTGGCTGACGCTCCCGCCCGTCACTGCCTGCAACCAATCAGTACCCGGGAGCAGGACCTGGGGGCGGGGCCTGGCGCCATTTTAGGCGCGTTTTTTAGCCTACAATTCCCGTCATGCATCGCGGCCTCATAGGCGCTTAATGGAGCCGTGCCTACAGCTCCCGTCATGCCCCGCGGCCAAATAGAGCCGCGACTACAAGTCCCGTCAGGCCCCGCGCTCCCCAGAGCCCCTAAACCTCCTCCTTGTGCCCCGTAGGCGCTTCCCCGACACTCCGGGACCCCCGAGTGCCCCCCCAGAGCCCACTCGGGACCCTCAAACGCCTCCCCAGACACACAAGGGCCCCAAACCCCACAGAGGCCTCCTAACGCCCCTTTCGGGACTACAGCCCCCATCATGCATCGCGGTACGCACACAACGCTATCAAAGTTGGGACTTCAGCTCCCGTCATGCCCCGCGCCCCATAGAGACTTAACCAGGCCTACATCTCCCATCATCCCCCACGGCCACAGCGCTCCTCATACAACTACAACTCCCGTCACATCCTGCCCCCAAAGAGACCCGGTAGAGCCCCGCAAATGCCCCACAAGGGCTTCCCGACCCCATGGGATCGCCCTAAGTGCCCCTGGGGAGCCACAAGTGCCCTCCCGGACCCCCAAGGGCTCCCTGTGACTTCCGGGACTACACCGCCCATAATGCCCCGCGGCGCCCATAGCGCGCCCTTTTCGCTGTGTCTCTCTCTCCCGTGATGCCCCGCGGCTCCATTGAATGGCCTCAAAGCAGCGCCTCTCTCGCCCGTGATGCCCCGCGGCTCCATTGAAAGGCCTCAAAGCAGCGCCTCTATCTCCCATGATGCCCCGCGGTCCCCCATTGAGCCCTATTATACTCGCGCCTACAACTCCCATCACCCCCCGCGGCCCAGAAAGCCCCCCCCAAATTCCCTCACCAGCTCCAAAACCAGGACAAAAAAAATCGCAATTTATTTGGACAGCAAAACTCAGAGACCCTCGGCCACCCAATTCTTTAATATTTAAAATCTTCTCCCTTTAAATTCTTCCTTTCATCCTATTCCAGCTCGCCCACATTTTTATTTCGCCTCCTTCTTCCTCTTCTCTTCCTCCTCTGTGGTTGTTTTTCGGGTGTCTCATTGCAGGGATCACTCCGAGGATGTCGCGGTCACTCCGGGGGGCTCGGGGCCATCTCGGGGTTCCGGGGTGGATTTTTGGGGGTCGCTCAGAGCAGGGGCCGACTCTTCTGTGTGAGCAAGACCCCAAAGCGGCGCTTCAGGGCCAGGCGGTGCCGGGAGAATTTATCATCGGGGGAGAAACGCGCGGGATGGGCCGAGCGTGTGGGGACCCCGTCCGGGGACACTTTCTGTGGAGGCAGCGTGTCAGAAAAACCCCAAAATCCCCCAAAATCCCCCCAGACCCCTCCCCAAAAACCCTCCAAAAATCCCCAAATCCCCTAAAATGTCCCCAAATGCCGCCCGTACCCGCAGGGTGTAAACGCGCTCCCCGCGCTCGTTCTCGTAGCACTGCAGGAACATGGCGGCGGCGGCGGAACACGGCACCGGAAGTCGCCTCAGG